CTGCCGCTGGCCCATGGGGCACGGCACAGCACCCAGTCCTCTCCCTCCCCAGGAGCGAGTTGGACCTGCAGGGCCAGGGCAGCACCGTGACCAGGGAGCCGGCGGCCGAGGCAGATGGCAGAGGCTCAAGTGCAGGGGACGAGGAGCCGGAGCAGCTTGGGCTGACGTGAGCAGCACCCTGCGTGTGCCCAGCATCCCCCCTGCAGCTGCTGGACTCTCTGTGGTCCCACGGTGGCCAGCATGTGGGAAATGGGCTGGGGGATTAGGTGGTGGAAGGCTGGGATGTTGCTTGGCTGCCCCAGCTCGACCTTGCTCTGCCTCAGTTTCCCCCATGCATTGCGGGTCATGTGTGCCCTCCCCGGGCTTGTTGCATTTGGGTTTGCAAAAGGGCCACTGAGGTTTGGGGTTGAGTTAAACACCCTCCTCATCCCCAGCTGGGTTGGAGGTGGGACTTGCTCTCCCTCCCCGATGACGAGTGTCCCCGGTCGCCTTTTCCCCAGGTCCAAGGGGTCCCCGACGGAGCTGTGGCGGCCATGGCTCTTCCTCCCGCCGAACTACTGGGTTTTCTTCTGGCTGCTTCTCCTGAGCATCGCCTTCCTCCTCCTTGTCCGCGTCCTGGAGCTGCAGCGGCTGCAGCCTGCGGCATCACCCAAGGCCTAGCCGGAGCGGGGAGGGGGAGGCGGCCGGGGGGCACCCGCTCTCCGTCGCTGCTCCTTCCCTGCGCCATAAAACACTAAAACCCTAGAATAATAAAATGGGAGGAAAAATGCAGGAATTTTAATGCTGGAGCAGGGGAGAACATCCTGTGCTAGGATCTGAGGTTTGGTTGGAGCCACCTTACAGGCGTGAAGGGCTCAGTCCTCATCGATGCTATGAGTTTGCCTGTTCTCTTGGCACACCGAGGGGTGCAGGGATGGCACCGCGCGTCCCCCTGTGCTGGGGACAGAGACCGGGCTGCCCACGGCCGGTGGGTTTGTGTTAGAGCCGTGTCCCACTGTGCCGGCCAGGCACCCTTCACCACGGCACGTCCTCGGTCCCTGCTGCCTGGGGAGCTGTAATTAAGATCTAATGCTCGTTTGCTGCTTCCCCGGGGGACGAAGCTGGGGCTGGAAGGAGCGGGTCAGTGTTCGGACTTTCCCATGGCACCACAAAGGGCTCACAAACAGAGGGAGCTGTTTCCGACCACTCCGGCACCTGGGAAAATTGCCTGGTTTGACACAGACGCCCCGTTTCCGTGTCCGCCCCGGCCTCTCGCGGCCCCAAAACGTGGGTGGGCTCCACTGCGCCCACACCCAGCAGCTTTGCAGAGGGCTGGCGGGCTCGAAACACCCCAGCCGAGCTGCGGGGGGGCCGTGGTGGGGGGGTTCTGCACCAGGACCCCCAGGAAGAGGCCCGAGGGGGCCACAGGAAAGAGGGATGGAGGTGCTGGGCTGGCGGGCT